GAGGTCTGCCCGGCGGCCGCAGGAGCTGCACCATCGCCCGGGCGTGGGGAGGGAGAGGGAGGGGAGCTCTCGGCCGCCGCAGGGAGCCCGCCTGTGCGGGTTCGCCCTCGTAGATACCGTGTGGCAGCAAGAGCTCTCTTGCTGCTGCCAAACCCGCTGGAAACATCCAGCCGCAGGGTGGTGTGGGACAGGTTGGATAGAGTTTCTCTCTGCTTCGATACGAAAAGCCCCGACTGAAAATTTCAAGTAGGAGTCCTTGAGGCTCGCTGTTTAAACACTGTTCTTTTTGAGCGTGGGTTGCTTGAGCTGTGTCTTGGAGGCTTGCTAAACCTGGAAACTCTGGGGATTCTGCCTGCCTACAGGGAACAAATAATGCTATGTTAGGAAAATGTGTGGAAGATAGTGTTGTAGTGGAGTGTCCACTACTTCCAAGCCCGTGGTGTAGCCTGAGCTTGTGTTGGAAAGAATATGAAAATTGTTTCCATGGATTCTTGTTCAAGGTAGAAGCTTCCAGCAATAACTGTTGTGCATTAGCAGAGAGCCATACAGATGCGGAAGCATAAGAACTGCTGGATTCCTTTCCAAGCTAGAGGAGAAATGAAGTGTGGAGTTCAGATCAAAGGTGGTAGTGTTTATCCACAGTGTTCTGTCGTAAGCGTTCGAGAGGTGGATGATCATTGTTGATATTTCAGGAACAGTTCAATAACTGAAATGGTTAATGGAAATGAGAACATCTTTGTGTGTGTACTTTAAAGTCCACTGGATTTTGGGCTAGTTGTCATGCTTTTCAACAAAATAGTATTATTAAAAATGCGTTGTTCTTGCATTTCAATTGTATAATCTGTATTTTAATTCCATAAGTAGGTGAAGATTCTAGCTCATCTAACTGTAAGGTAGGGAGATCTTTTTCTAGTTAAGTGTCAAATAGGCCTTTTGGACAACCTGTTAACTTTTCATGTAGTGTTAACTAATAAAAGTATGGTGATAATAAAATGATAATTAAAAAAAATCACAAGCCAGTTAGGTCATATTGAGCATGTGAACTTTAGTTTCTTAATTTCTGCCTTTGTGTAGTATGCAAGTTTTTGTACTATGGTTGCCAGTTTCACTTTTGTGTGAATATATTTATTGTAATTTTCACTATTCTATAATGCTAAAAGTGCGTAGTATCCAGTATGGCGTATGTATCCTTAAGACAAACTAACAAATGACTTACAAAAATGCAAACTGCATCCTACTTGCCAAGTTGTATCTCTTTAATACTAGGAGTTACTGTTTAATAGTTATTATGCTTATGGTTAAGGCTGCTCATTTGAGGAATTCATGGTGGTTTTTCCTTAGCTGTAAACCTTATTTGGCTTTTTGTCAACCTTATATGACTTTAATGGCTGTCTGTTAATTGATAGTATTAATGACTTACAGAATTTGTTCTGCTAGTACCTGACAAAAAGCCCTTTGTCTTCCAGAAGAATTAAGGTTGAACAAGTCTTCTCAAATCATCAGCTTTTAATTGAGATTGGATTACACCATGCATTAAAAAAAGCCATCATCCTTTTGTTAAAATAAACATAATTGTGATCAGTAGTGTTTCTTTTTCTATTGTGTATTTTTTTATTATGTGGTAGAACTGAATGAACACTTACATATTATCAAAATGGTTGTTTATTTTATACTTCAGAATGAGTACTGACCATTATTACAAGATGGATGAGGCTAGAAAACTAACTATAATAATGTATTTGAGATTTATTGAAGTAGATACATTAAAGAAAATTATATGGTCAATGTATAGCTGAATTGGTATGAAGCACTACAGGTAAAGACAGCTCTGGAAGGATTAGAATTCAAGTGGAATTATTTCAGTAGATAGAATGTAACAGGCTGTCAGCTAATACATTTTGTAACATAATGACTGAGTAATTTTATAAAGAAACTTATGTCGATGCCTTTGTTCTCTAGTGCAACATGCTTTTATAATGGGTTGCAGTTTATTAGTTCTTATTTTGAGATTAATTTATTGGATGCATTGGCATTGAGGCAAATTATTTAGCTGAAAAAATGTTACTTGTAAGGCATTTTAAAAAATCTGTTCATGATTTTTCTATTTTACTTAAGACTTTGAACACTGGAGTATTTAATGCAGTCATATTGTGAAACACATTGGAAGATGTGTGAATATATTTGCGACTTGCAGTTGAGAATTTCCTGTCTTTAAGCTGCAGTGTGTGTGTATGTATATAAACTTTGTTAACTATTGGAATTAATCTGATGGGTAAGACTGCTTCTAAATGAATTCTGTAAACATATAGAATATAACTGTGGATATTTGTACTTTAGTGAAAATTATCACTCATACTCTGTGATGCATGCTGTACAAATAGAGACATTCTGACTTGAAGAGAATGTGTTCTTTCTCTCCCCTAGGGAAGCTGTCCTCATCAGAGCAAGAAAAGCCATTATGCTTCTTAGTGTGTTCCTTTGTTATCTTATTTTGTTTTGTATCTTTTAATCTGTTTTGTTCTGGAAAAATAAGTTTATGCCATGTGAATTTTGCATCTTCTCTGGAACTTGCTGTTGCTACAAATATGAGGAAGGTTAGCATCACTAATATCATATGACTAGTAATGCTTTTGGCCAGCTGATACTGTTCTTGCCAATTTCTTGCTAATTTCATTCAGAACCTAGGCAGCTGAGGTACTGGCAAATAATGTGGTGTTAGATAGAATAAAAATACTAATTGTAAAATGGGCTGTTAAGTACATATGCGTAGGTCAGATAAAATTGTCCTAGCTGCTTTTTCATCTTCATTCCATATATTATAATGAACAGTGCTTTTAAATGTCTTTGAATTATGAACTGGTATTATGAGTATGCTGCACACTGCAGTGTAACCTCCTGTTTCCTGGATGTTGTGGGTTTTGTTTCTTTAATTTTTTTAAAGTAGTTCATATCAGAAAGTCAACTAATTTCTTGGAATCAAGGGGAAACATTAATTTTTTTATGTAACATCTATTTCTTGTTTTTATAAGTTAAGTAAAATATAACCATTTATAATGATTTCAGATTAACTAACTGAAATTCAACATTTAAATGTCAGTATGGTCCTCTTAACATTATGGATGTATCCTACCTTTACGAACATGAGAATGAGAACTGTTTGTGACATGCAGAGTAAGCATGTCACATGATAAATGTAGCTGCAGGTATTTAGAGTTTATGACTTCTGGGTGTTTACTACTTCCTTTGTGGTATGGATCTTTCATATTTCTTTATCTTGCATTCTTCACCTTTTCAATTATACTGCCAGCAAGTCTAACTTTCTTAGCCAATTAAGGCGGCTAAGTTGAGGAGTTTTCCACTGAAGTGGACAAAAAAAGGTCATACAAACTACTTTACTGGTCCTGCTCAAGGATAAGTACCTCACAGACTTCACGGATGGAGAGTGGTGGGGAGGGTATGGAGTGACATTGGTAGTGAAGTTGCTGTTTACAGTTTGGCACCAGCTTTGGATTTGTGATGTGTGATGCATATAGACTGGTACAGCCTTTTAGCCTGATACGCATAGGGTTTTAGCCTGGGGTCATCACCAGTGGTTAGACTGCTTAATGCTATGGCAGTATTGCTCTGTATCTGTCGAGGTGCAAGACAGTGATTTTGGAGCTAGAAAGTGGAGATGCTGAAAGTTGTGCAGGAAGGCGCCTGCGTGCCACTAAATTTTACATATGCAAGAGACTGTTTATACCTGTGCATGCATGGGGTTGTTTCATAGCACTGGAGCAGATGGCAGTTATATACGCCTGTGCTTTGCCTGGAAGATCTGTAAACAGTTTATCTCAGCAGCAGTGCATTCTTTTACCCTGCAAAATATTGTGCATTACTTTAATAATTTCACTGCCCTAAACATCTGTTTAACCACACCATCCACTGATGTGTGTGTTAGTAATGATTTGTGAATGCAAGCTTGCAGGAGAGTTTTGCACCTTTGGCTGGCCCATTGCAGATCTCTGAAGTGAATGTCTCCCTTATTGACACTTGCTGAACTTGCCTACCCCTTGTTTCTTAGGGAATGCACAAAGCTGTCTATTTGTGGCTTCAAAAACTGCATGTGTTCAGCTGCTTAAGCAGGTTGAGAAGGGTGGTAGCATATGCATTTGGCAAGCTGAAGTTTGTATTACGCTTTCTGCTAATGGGTCTTTGGGTAAAAAAAAAAAAAATCCTGGAACTTTCTCTGCAAAAGCTGCAGAACTCTGAGGGTTTGTAGAAATGATGTTGAGGGATGCATGAAACAGGCAGCAAGGCTTTGTCGGCTAGCAGACAACGTCATACTCAACTGTACTATGTGTACAAAGTGATTTGTGAAATTAAAGTGACCCCTTTTTGATCTAGTATTCCACAGCCTATCAAGAAGTCATTGCTTGTTCATCTAAAATATTGCCTCAGGAGTAGAAAGTATGAATAAAGTTTGATAGAAAAAATAATTTGCTGAGATCTCTTTGGAAGGTGTTGGATATCAGGGTGTTTGCAAGTGAATTGTGTAGCTATGCAGAGGAGACCAGTGTGCAACGAATAAGCCACATCCACCTTTTGTGCTTTGTGTCTATTATAAGAAGACATCTTGGTCACTGATGTGCCTGCATGCTTTGAGGCATAGAAATGAGTTCGAAGTCCCCAAGTGCTTTCCTATTGGAAAACAACGTCTCAAGTTTTGTCCTAGGACAGTAACTCTCTTGTTTAAGTGCTGGACAAATGCATTCCAGCACAATAAAGGACAAATGCCACAATAAAAGAAAACTCCAGGGGCATGCTACATACATACGTGTTGGAGTCTACAAGCGGGACATAGTTAGAGGCTAAAAGTCATCCATCAGTCCTGGACAGTCTCTATGTTATCCTTTTACTTTTCATCCAGTATCTGGATGAAAGCTGCTGTGGATGGCTTTTACAAGTGTGCTAAATCAGATTAATAACCTTGTTAACGTAGGTGCTTGTTATCTTACTATTAAAAGCATATTGCCAAATCAGATTGGCATTTTTGAGATGCCACCTAAAAATGTGTTTGGGGAGCTCTTGAGATAGTAAGAACTGTTTTCCCCTTTCCTAGGGAACTGCAGACCGAGGAAGCTGTTTTCCTGTACGGTACTTCAAATACACACAAAAGGCTCTGTATTTAGAGCAGGATAAACTTATCTAGGTTCTGAAGAGGGATGCTACAGCTTGGTGCAGAAAAGATGCTTTCATGGACTACAAGCTTCTGATTTACAGTACAACAGCAATCAGCAAGAGACAGTGTTGTCTGAGCTGTGAATACCTGGGAGGAAAAAGGGAAATGTACTTTTGTTTCAAAATACTGACCCATTTCCCCACTGTGTACAGACAGCGGTTGTCATATACAATGTTAGCCTTACTCATTTTAGCTAAGTTCAGTGAAATCAAATTCCTGTCTCATTGGGATGAGCTCTTGCCTGATAAAACTTCTTAGGGATAGAAGAGAATGGGCACCTTCCACAGGATGAGAAAGAAACCTGTGGGTTTGGTGGATGCAAGAGTGATAGATATATACTGTTGCCTTACTCGTCAACATCTGGCTCTATTGGCATAACCCTGTTTTATTGAAGGCTCAGGAAAGATATGGGTGGAGAAGTGGAATATCAAGCTTTGGTCTGCTTTACTGCTAGACTGTGAATAAAATTCTTCAGAATGTATTCGGATTGCATTGAAAACTGCTAGCAGAATGGGGCAGTGTGGAATCACAGGGGTGGCAAGAGCAATTTGTAACAATGTATGGAACACAGATTGGGCTGGTGCCAAAGGGTACTAGGACAAAGACAAATGCAAAACCTTCACACTTACTGTTTAAAAAAAAAAAGGGGGGGGGGGGGAAACACCGCGCATGGTTATAAAAAAAAAAAAAGGGGGGGGGGGGGGAGAACACTGTGTAAATGGATTAATCTATGCAGTTATATAAGCCTCTGTATCTGCTGGTGGAAGCAAATTGCTCTGTCCATATTCGATGATGGTGGTCTCAGTCTCTGGTGTTCAAATTTTCTGTAACTTGTCTCGGGTCCTGAAAAGCCTATATGACATTGTCTATCCTATTGTGTAGGATGATTCATCTCCGTGTATTGGGGTGATTTTTCCTTTGGCCTCAACTTTGTTATTGTTGCTTTTTACTTTCTTCCTCATGAACTTGAGAATTGCTGCTTTAACCTCACACAGATTCAGGTGTATGGTTCCATGTGTAAACTTATTGAGATGACATTTTGAGAATATCTTGCTATGATCTGAGCAGTACCCACCTCAAAGGACGAAGGTCAGTGTGTAAACCTTCCTTGTGGAGATAGTACAGGAGTGTTTAACTTCAAACTTATTGTGATGCTCACAGGATTGAAGAACCAGTTGGAGGGCTGCTTATCTGTGGAAAGGCTGTAGGGTGATATTTTAGATGATGCGGGTAAGCCAAAGGGAGATGTGGTAAACGCCAGTGGCATTATCTTCTGGTAATGAGGTCCTGACCTTAAGGACATTAACTGGGCACTAATGGAAATGTAAGGTGAACCTGCTATTTATGGGGAATGGCAACATCTGGGAGAAGTTGATGCTGTGTCATTAAATAGATGAGAAGAGGAAGAAAAGCACCTCAGTCAGTACTGAAAAGCCCTAGGTTGGACCTAGAGGAGTGGAGCAGGCAGATAATCACAGCTATGTGAAAAGGAATGGCAGTTGTGATATTGTTCCAAAAATCTCAAACAGGTCAGACTCTGGACCAGCTGATGTAATGGCAACTACTTTCAGACAACTTTGTTCTACAGTCTCATGATCCAGACCCTTAAGGGGGTTTGCCCCTACCCACATGTAATGGCTGGTGTCTTTTATTTTGAACAGTTGTAATAGTCAGTTTGTTTCATGAATGCTTTGTTGTTCTTCTTGTCCTCTTATGCAACTATACTTGGTTTCTGTGGCATCAGTGTAAAAGAAAGTCAGCCTTGCAACCATTTGAAGTTTTTCATAGTAAAATAAGACTAAATAAATAAGTTGTTAGCTGTTGGTCAGAAAGTTAAATGTAAATTGTTTTTATAATATTTAAATTAATGATTTGTAAGAGGATTTGCTGATTGAATGCTGTACCCCAGCACCTGAAAAAATGTAACTGCAGTGTTAGTATAACCATTGCGTACAATTGTGATAAGCATTTTACACTACTTCTGATGGGAAATCTTTTTAACTTTTTTGCATTACTTTTTGTCCTTTAAAAAGGTGTCCAAAGAGGGTTATGCTTAAAAAGGAAATGTTTATTTTGTTTTTCCCATGAAAGGATGGGGTTTTTTTTTGGTTGGAGGGAACAGTTACAGGGTAATCCATGTTTAGTTACCTTTCATAATATAGATGAGAAAATCTAGACACTCTTCATATTGTTCTTATTCTTAGTTATGGAAATCAATCTTTCTTTAGAAGCTTGCTTTCTTTCCTCTTGAGAAAACTGGCATACAGAGTAGCACTGTTTTTTATATTTTATTACTGCAGTGTTATCTACTGGCTACTTCAAAATGTCAGATTAAGAGTTGATTAAAGTGGCAAACTCCTTTATCAAATGTAATGTATGTTGTCCATTTGATCTGTTCAATGAAAGAAGTAGAGAAACTACTGTTTAAAAAAAAATTAAAAAGTAGGCAAGGCTTAAGCTTAAATACTCAAAGTAGTCCTTCGAAGAATTCTGATCCTTGATATTAAGATATTCAAAATCACTTAGGTAAAACCTCCATACAGGAATATTTGAATGACTGGAATCATGCTCCCTTTTCCTTGATAAATTCTGTTTCTTTGTCATCTGACAAAAAAAACCCATAGGAATTTGTGTATGTTAATGTTAACTTTTCAAAATGTATTATCACAAGCTATTTGTTCATGTTTCCTGAATGAATTGTGCATGAAGAGTAGGTTTTTCAAAGCTGCCTGAAAGAGCTGGATTTTTAACTCTCGGAAGAAACTAATAGGAGATAATGTAGGTAATTTGGAATCTTTTCGTGTATGAAGAAATAATTTAGGAAGTCTTTTATCAAATTCCCCCACCACCTTGTTCTCAGACTGAAAACTCTTCTTTCTCAGCCTCAAGTCACATTGCCTGTAATCTTATGTGTCTTAATTGCATTGATGTAGATTACAATCGATGCCAAGTTGCTTGAGGAGAAACAAATAGCTGTTAAGCTACTTGCTGGCTCTTTGCATTCTATTTGCATAGGGAAAATGGTGCTTGTAGAAATGCTGTTTTGGTGGTTTTTTTTTTTTATTTGGCAGGCAGAGTTGCGAGCAGCTGTTTTTTTGGCATTGGAAGAACAAGAGAAAGTAGAGGTAAGAGGAACCTTAAAAAAAATTTTACAAAAAATCAGCATCCTGATAGTTCTTCATGTAGAATTAAATATAATAGCTTTAATACTTCCTACTTGTGAAATGTAATGAGAGAAAGTTCTGTATTACTGCATAAGAGCATGACGCTTAAAGAACACAAAACAGGACTACCAGGGTGTTTCCTGATGTTTAGAAATAGGAATTCTTACATAGCCTTTTGAAACTGTAGCTTTAAGTAACTGTCTCTGCTGGGTTTATATTGCTTCTGTCCAATTGACCAGAATAACTAAATATCTTTTTCATCAAATACTTCTTTTAAAAAAACAAAAAATCTAGTTGAGTGATCAAGATTTTTATCAAATTGGAATAACATCTTTTGAAATGTAAAATATTATAGTGGGTTTTTTTGACAAGTGTATTGTGAAAGCAATTTAATGCAGTAACTTGCCAAGTATGCCAATGCTTTTCATATTTCTCATAAGGATGTTTAGGCTTACTTCAAGATAATTTGCTTATATTTAAAGAAGAATTCTGAATTAAGAGATGGACTATGTACTGATACCTTGACAATAAAATAATAGTAAGGTATGTGATACCAGTGTGATTAAGTAACAATACCGCTGTGGTATGCAGACGCTGGTTATGTGAGCCCTCATACTGCTGGCATTGCCTCATTTCCTGTGTCTTTCCATTTTCTAGAACTAGAGAGGAGAGGGTGCTGTATGTCCAGGCTCTCTGTTTCAAAAGAGAGGAATGGAAAATTGTCCTATTCCTCCACTGGTTAGATGGTTGTGCTCTTTCTGGAAAGTTGCACAACTGCAACAGATGTTATTGTGACATTAGTAAGGAGGGGAGGTAGTTATTCTATAGTATGAGATTCCATATTCCAGAAATCTAACATAAGATTGCTGAAGAAGACATAATGGAAGAGTGATATAACAGAACAATGTCATCTCTTATGGGAAGCTTCAGCATATTATAGAACACCCAGATAACAACCTCCCAGACTATCTGGAGAGTAATAGGGCTGAAGAGATATTTCCTACAGTTGATCTTGGCTCAGCCTTTTGTCAAAAGCTTAAATGTATCATGATTTTTTAATTTTACACTGTGGAGACACTGAAAATGTATTAACACTTATCACTACTCTGAATTCCTAAATATTAAGCAAGACATACTTCTTTTTGTGGAGCGCTTTCTTGTGTGTGTTAGCATTTAAGACTATAGTGATAAATACCTATAGCAGATCCTTTTCTTTGAGTTAGGTTCTTACCCAGGATATTTTGATGTTGTAGGAATGGCATTTAGAACTTGGTTTGAAAAATCCCTGAACAATTTTGACAAACCCAAACATAGCATATTGATGTATCTCTGTTTAGAAATCAATATTGAAGAGGGCAACTCTAATAAGGGAGAAAAAACATTTTCATAATATCTTTGAAGGTCTTTTAATTAATAGAAGATTCGTATTGATTTGTGAACCACTAATTAGCACAGTCCACACTTTGTCTACGTAAATTCCCATTTTTAAAAAATTGGGACTGAATTTCCTTAAACTTGGTGCTATATTGGAGGAGCAATTTGGGAAGTTAACTGCTTAACTTAACCTTTTTAATCATTAAGTAAATAAAAATCGGTATGCTATTAAGAATTTTGGTGAAATTACTCTAGCTCTGTAGCTTTTATGTTAGAAATAATGAGACAATTTTAATTTGCCTAAGTAAGCGTACGGCTCTGCAGCTTTTACTTGTAGGTAGTAGAATTAATACAAAGGTACATTTTGAAGAAGTGAATTACATGTGCCAGGCATCATTGTGGAACAGTGTATACCAAAACACCAACTTGCTATGGTTTTCAATCTCTTGCTAGTATGAGGGTGATGTTAATTACTGTTTGGTTTTTGCTTTTTGACAGAACAAAACACCTCTGGTAAATGAAAGCTTGAGAAGCTTTTTAGGTACAAAAGATGGTAAGTTCTTTGTTTAGTATACTTCTCAACATAATAAAAGTAGGGAACAAAGGATTAAATCTTTGAATCTTTTATTAACAGTAGAGTCTTCATGACATAAAGGATGCTTTTGTTCCTGTCAAATGTCATAATTAGTATTCATTCAGAACAGAATTCAGTCTATAATTTTTGAAGTTAATATTGCTGAAGTTGTATTTTTAACTGAGGTGACTAATGCATTTAAATTAATATTTCATGAAGAGTTATGATTATGCTAACTCAGAGCCATTCTAGACAAGTAGAAACAGTAACCAGTGAAAACTCACTGTAGAGGTACTGTAGTGAATGAACACAGGAGAAATGCCAAAATGATGTCTTTAAAACAGCTGAATAGTTTAAAAAAAAAAATCTTGAACCTGAATTTTGTAAGCAATCTCTATTTATGCTCCTGCAGTATTGCTGACTTAAATAATATTGATACAATGACTGAGTTAGAAATTAGGGAATTGGTATACAAATTAGCTATGTGGTGGTAGTTTGCTGAATGTCTAAATGATGTTGTAGGAGTGTTGAATGAATGTAGATGTTCATACTGAAGCCATGTTAATGTTAAATCTTTGAAGTAAGAATTGTTTCTGTCTGGTGTATTTTTACTCTTCTCGTTTCCTTTTTAGGTCGCTTGGTAGCAGGTCTTATTGCAGAATTTCTACGATTTTTCAATCTTGATTTTACATTGGCTGTTTTTCAGCCTGAATCAAGCACAGTAAGATATACTGGTTTTATTTCTATGCTATGTTGATTGTTTGGAGTACATGGCAATGAATACAGAAGCTATAGTAGATTTGTTTAAACCTCTTGCTTGTGTTTATTCTAAATAATTTTTTTACATTTAGTCTGTAAAAAGATACTTATTGCCGTAAAGACATGTATTCCAGGGAAGTATGCTAATATGAGTGAGTATTCCCTTTATTAAAAAACAGTGCTTGAATAATATGTTCATTTTGAATTAACAAATTAATATTTTTTGTGAAATCATATAACAGTATATACAACAGAATACTCCTGCAACATTTTTTGCCAATAATTTTACTATGTCATGATATTAAGTTAGTGTTGTTACATGAAAATTGAAATAATGTCAGTAATCTACTCCAAGAGAAATTTCAGTGAAGCAAAGGACTTTGCGCAGATGCACATGACAAAGTGGTTGAATAGAATAGTTCAGTTGGAAGGGACCTACAATGATCATGTAGCCCAACTGATTGCTTTTAGGCTTTTGATACTGAGTTAGAGGTTTTTCATCGTGTTTGTTTCTTTTTATGATATAACGGTTTTAATAATAAATTTGGGTTTGAAACAGTTCCATTTAACTGAAGAATTTCTCTTTACATCTCAAATACTCATTTTTTATTCTTAATGTCAGTTTAAATGGTTAATTTATTAAAAATCCAACCTTGTTAAATCAATTAATTGACTTCTGTTTCTCAGGACGTCATGTTTAGGGGCTTAATCAAAGAAAATCCCATACACCCTTGTCCTTTGCCCAATATCCTTAGCTGCATTTCTTGCACTAAGACACATCTGTACAAAGACTCATGTTCATGCTACCAAATAGAAACAGTCATGCTTTCTGTCATGTTGCCGCTCACTCTTGGGAGCAGTGCTTCGTTCGTGTTGTAAAGGCATCTCATGCTGTTTGAAATGCTCCCTTCCTTTTTCCAGTAAAAGCATCTTTTTCATCTATTGCGGTGCATATATGAAATTTGGCCAAAGTTAAGCAAGTTGGCCAAGACTGCTGTGTATAGTGCTGAAAGACTTGACTTTGTTTTCCTTTACTAACCCCACTCTCTGAGCAGTCTGTTCTTTTGTCTCTTTATCCTCCATGTTTCAGTGTGCTTGACTAGTGGTGGCTTGCTTCAGTATTTGCTTGACCAGTGTTTTGGTAGGAAGTGTCACTAAATAATTGTAAGAGTTCAAGGGCAAGTCCTGCCTGACCAACCTAGTGGCTTTCTATGAAGGAGTGACTGCATCAGTGGACAAGAGAAAAGCAATGGATGTCATCTATCTGGACTTCTGTAAAGCCTTCAACACAGTCCCCCACAACATCCTTCTGTCTAAATTGGGGAGCTATGGATTTGATGGGTGGACTGTTCGGTGGATAAGGAATTGGCTGGATGGTCCCATCCGGATGGTAGTGGTCAACATCTTGATGTCCAAATGGAGACTGGTGACAAGTGGTGTCCCTCAGGGGTCTGTACTGGGACCACTGCTGTTTAATATCTTCATCAGTAACACAGACAGTGGGATTGAGTGCACCCTCAGCAAGTTTGCAGATGACACCAAGCTGAGATTCAACAAGGCCAAGTGCAAGGTCCTGCACCTGGGACGGGGCAACCCCCGGTATCAGTACAGGCTGGGGGATGAAGGGATTGAGAGCAGCCCTGCGGAGAAGGACTTGGGGGTACTGGTGGATGAAAAGCTGGATGTGAGCCGGCAATGTGCGCTTGCAGCCCAGAAAGCCAACCGAATCCTGGGCTGCATCAAAAGCAGTGTGGCCAGAAGGTCGAGGGAGGTGATTCTGCCCCTCTGCTCTGCTCTGGTGAGACCCCACGGGGAGTCCTGCATCCACCTCTGGAGCCCTCAGCACAGGGAAGACATGGACCTGTTGGAGCGGGTCCAGAAGAGGGCCACAAAAATGATCCGAGGGCTGGAGCACCTCTCTTACAAGGCCAGGCTGAGAGAGTTGGGGTTGTTCAGCCTGGAGAAGAGAAGGCTGCGAGGAGACCTTATTGCAGCCTTTCAGTACTTAAAGGGGGCCTACAGGAGGGATGGGGAGAATCATTTTAGCAAGGCCTGTTGTGACAGGACAAGGAGTAATGGATTTAAACTAAAGGAGGATAGATTTAGACTGGATATAAGGAAGAAATTTTTTACAATGAGGGTGGTGAAGCGCTGGAACAGGTTGCCCAGAGAGGTAGTGGAGGCCCCATCCCTGGAAGCATTCAAGGTCAGGTTGGATGGGGCTCTGAGCAACCTGATGTGGTTAAAGCTGTCCCTGCTCCCTGCAGGGGGGTTGGGCTAGATGACCTCTAAAGGTCCCTTCCAACCCAAAGCATTCTATGATTCTAAGATGAAGTGGCGCCCTCTGCAGTATTGCCATTCTGAGGTTACGCCAACCAACCTGGGTTTGCTGCAGCATTCTGCTTCTGCTATAATGTGAAGTTCAGTTTTAAAAAGTGTATTTTTCTTCAAATTTTTCCTGCCAATTTTTTTTTCCGATATTGAATCAGTTTCATCCCTGCTTCTGTCCAAACCCATGTTTTTTTCAAAGTGAAACAGGGACTGAAGCTAAGTGTTGACCTATGCTGGTGTACTTCTATATGCACAGGAATGGGGACTCTTCATCATTTATGAATTTGCTGGAACCACTGGCTAGGTGTCCTAGGATCCACTTTTAAATGTGATATGCTAAAGTAACTTGACCATATAAATCTTTAAATCCTGAAGCATGCTAATGATGAATACTTGCATATTTAAAACACCTTTGGATGGTTTGTGATAAGTTCAGGTACAAATCAGAAGTAAATGATGCCATAGGCTATCGTTACTTTAGTCCACATGCAACAGGAAGTCTTAAATAGTTACTGTTTAGTCAAAATATTGCTGTGTTAAATAAGCCCTAAGAGCTTTAGGAGTTATATTACAGAATATATATTGTGTTTTCTGATGGTTATTTCTGTGTTGTGGGTTGGTTTTTTTTTTTAAATGTATTTGGTTTGGTTTCTTTTTGCCCCCCAGCTAAATGGCCTTGATGGTCGAGAAAACTTAGCTCAAGATTTGGGAATTATAGAATCAGAAGGTACTGTGAGTGGTCCCCTGTTGTTGGAGGTTGTTAGAAAATGTCAGCAGAAAAAGGTTTCAGGCAGTGGAGAAGTAAGTAGTGTTAACATGTAATTTCTTTCTTCATAATTCTTTATTCATTTACATTTCAATGATGAAAAATAAGCTGAAATTAAGAACACTTGGCTACTGTTGTAGTATTATACTGTTTAAGGTCTTTATTATAGGTAGTATAATAGGAAATGCCCTCAACATAACTTATCAGAAAACAATGCTGAAAGACAATGACTATTGTATTACTTCTAATGCCACCCTGGTACTCTTTACTAATATTCTGTAACACAGAGTGTACCCAGATAAATGAAACAAAACACTGTGTCACTTATTTTCTAATTGCTAGTGTGGTTGGATAACACTTTTAGCTGTACTTATTTTCTTTGGCATACTTCTAATTTTCATATGACCTGAAAAGCCTAGAACTGGTTTTGTTAAAAGCTTTAAAGCTGTTCTTGAAAACATATGTATTTAAAAATAATATATGAAAGTAATGAACTACCTGAAGGCAATGACAGTAATGTTTTAATAGAATATATAATTAAGTTGTTAAATGAATGAAATCAAACCAATAGTATTTGATTAGTCTCTGTCATGATTGTGGCTCAAAAGAAAATTCTCTGCACTCAAGATGTATTCAGTACCCAAAAGAAAGCTTAAATTCAGAAGTAGTTGTCATAGACTTCCTAACATAGCCACACATATTGCATACTGTGTGAATGAGGATGGTAACCTTGTTTCTTGTTTGATGGTATTATGACAAAATTCAATATATTTTTAATAAGTGTTTATGTGAAACTTCTTAGGTGGCTCCAGTTCTAAGTGATAGCCTGTGCCCCACGTCAAAATCATCTGATGGAAGATCAAGTACACAGCCTATACTGAATAAGGTAACATTGTTTATATATAATGAAAAAGCTACATAATATACATGAGATAAGTATAAGAGAGAACTCCTATGAAACTGCAGATATGATGGCATGTACTTAAATGATCTGCAAAGTCCTGTACTTTTCCGACTGGGTAGGTGACAGCACATACACATCTCTCTCTGAGACACAGTGTTGTGGTTTAACCCCAGCTGGCAACTAAGCACCACATAGCTGCTTGCTCACTCCCCCCTGGTGGGATAGGGGATAGAATTAGAAGAGTAAAAGTGAGAAAACTCATGGGCTGAGATAAAGACAGTTTAATAGGTAAAGCAAAAGCCACACATGCAAGCGAAGCACAATAAGGAATTCATTCACCACTTCCCATTGGCAGGCAGGTGTTCAGCCATCTCCAGGAAAGCAGGGCTCCATCACACATAATGGTTACTTGGGAAGACAAATGCCATCACTCTGAACGTCCCCCACTTCCTTCTTGTTCCCCCAGCTTTATATGCTGAGCATGACATCATATGGTGTGGCATACCCTTTTGGTCAGCTGTCCCAGCTGTGTCCCCTCCCAGCTTCTTGTGCACCCTCAGCCTGCTTGCTGGTGGGATTGGGTGAGAAGCAGACAAGGTCTTGACTCTGTGTAAGCACTGCTCAGCAGTAACAAAAACATCCCTGTATTATGAATGCTGTTTCCAGTACAAACCCAAAACATAAGCCCCATACTAGCTACTGTGAAGAAGATTAACTATACCCTAGCCAAAACCAGCACACACACACAGGTTGGAGCTAACTTTGTTTATCAGGCAGGTGGCTGAATGATGCTTGGGGTTGATAAGGTGTTAGGATACAACTGTTTGTGTTGGGGCCTGTGACTTTCTTTTCTCTGTTGCTTCCTGTTAGCACAAAATCTGTATTAACTAACATCTTTCAAGCCTCTAATACTCCTTTACATTTGACTGGAACTGACCAACGGGTGGAGAATTATGGGAAAGTGTAGGGCATGGAAAGGGGCATGGTCACTTAAGCCTCTTTTCCACAAGAAACTGGCTACCTACTGCACCCAGTAAAAAAAAAAAAAAAAAAAACAAACCAAAACCCAAACCACCAAACCAAAACAACCCTGATTCAAGTACTAAAGTTTGTTCAAATTATTGATGTAATCTGATCACATAAAAGGTTTTAATAGCTTTTTTCAAGATTACTGCAAATAACTAAGAAGCTTTCCAATTCACTAATGAAAGCTGAGAAATGTAACATTGCATGAATTTTGTTGTTAGTTTATTCATTTGGGGCAGGGAATGATAAGGATAAAAGAAAATAAAATGACAGCTCCGTTTGGATCTGCTTCACTTTATTCCAATTCTTTAGTTTTTTGCCATGGAAAACCAGGAAACTATACGGTTTGAAAAGCAAGCTTCAAGATTAAGTTACTTTATTAATTGCTGTGCTTGTTGATAGCATCCTAAAAGCTAGTATTTCTGTAACTGACTTTTGAATAGAAATTTTGATAAAGTCAGACCTGCTTTAGGAGGATATAATTCTTGCTTGGCACCAGCTTTTAAACCAAAACAAATCCACTAAAATTATCTGAATGCTGATTAAATATCACTGTTACTAATACTTTTGCTTCATACCTGATCCCCTACTTTTGTCTTAGAGTGGTTCTACATTAGCTAAGAAGAACTACTAATGATGAGTTAGAAGTCATAAATATTCCATTCTCCTTTGCATATACCACCTTTCATCTTCAGGTTTAAATTACTTTAATTGAAATAAGTAGGTCAGAAAGAGAAGAGCTAAGTGTTTGTTATATTGCTTTTCTTCAGGAAAAGTATAGTTGTTTAGAGGAGTAAAAAAGTATTTTCGGTAGCTTGTAGATTGAACCAGGTTTCTTGTGGGTGTTTTTTCTGTGTGTGGATGCACATGTCTCAAGGCTGGTCCAACCTCTGTCTGATATGAATCTTATTCCTTTATGTCTGTTCTTGACAGATCTTTTTGCAATGCAGTTATGCAGGGGTGGTTGGGTGTGGGGGGGTTGTTTGGTTGGGGTTTTTTTTGGTTTTTTTTTTTGTTGTTTTTTTTTTTTTGAAACTTCTACCTTTTTTGCAGTGGTTGAACTTAGCCAGCCAGTCCAAAATACATTAGAGGAAGACAGAGAGACAAGAGCACAGAGGAGTATCATATCTTAAGGCTTGTTTCATTAAGAAATGAGAATGAGTTTTAAGTTATGCCTGGATCTCTGCTTTAGAGAAGGTATTATGGAGTAGTTAAGTCATTCCTGTTGTTTAAGATTATAACAAGAATAAATGACAGTCTTTTTTCACAATTGTTTGGGCCTGTACAAAACAGGAACTCCTGTACCCAGCTCAAATACTGCTGTATAAACTGTGTAGAAAACAAATATAAGCCATGTCTGAATGATTTCCAAAGATTAGTGCTGTTTTCCAGAAGTGATACTGTGTTGCAGTTTATTGTATTCTTCTCTGTGTTGAGGTTGCCAGAATTCTTTTTCAGGCTGCTATCGACTACTTAGATGCACTAGTCCATAGATGCAAAAGCTTCTCCTATTGACTGACTTCAGCTTAATGATAGTGATTGTGACTGGTCCAGTCAATAGTGGCATTTTTTATACTTAATCCCCAATAAGTATATGGACACCAGAAAGTGATTCTCAGGTTTATTCTGAGGTCTTAAGTTTTAGAGAAGCTACCAGATAGGAGTATTTACTTCTGAGCAAGGAGTATTAAAGTGTGGTAAAAGATCATTGAACCATGTTTCCTTTTTTTATGGGGAGTTTTGTGCATTGTCAGAACACCACAGTTAAGAGTTTGAATACTTATGGCGTGCAGCAGCAGCCGAGGTGGTGATAAGAACACTTTCATTTACATGCTTTTTCTGATGTGACAAGGTTGCGAGTAGAATATAATTTCCAACAAGTTGGAATTTATGATCCGGGTTTTTATATTCTTTATACCCATCTTATATGGCAAGCAAATCATAATTCCATTGCAGTGGGAGATAGATTAACATGTTTTGGAAAGGCTTTTCATAATACATTGCTGAATCCTCTATGAAAATATGTTTATCTCAGACATGGGAGAAAATTGGTTTCTGTATGGATGTTTCCTCATAGAAACAGCAACAGCTGTTGGTTGGACTACATACTCCTCTAAGAATAAGTAGTGGATATCTTAATGGGACTACAGGTCTTTGGACATTCCGCCCGCCTAGTTCTCTGTCTCCTTGGCAATGGCAGGATGGGAGAATATTATGCCTGTGCAATATAATTGGAGTAAAAATAACACAGAAGGAGGAAATTTTAGCCAGTCCCGGCTGGAGCAACGTTGAAGTTACCTGAACAGTCTAGACTTCCTGATTGAAACTTGAGATTCTCTCGTGGTTTCTCAGCAAACCTGTGAGCTGAACTGGCTCTGACTGTGACTTGGCAGCCAATAGAAGGGAGTGTGCTAGGAGATACCAAGACCACAGCTCTTGGCAGCAGCAAAGAATTACATTTGTTTAAGTGCAAGTGTGAAACCACACTCTGATTTATTAACACCATTAGTCTGAAACCCAAGGTAGGCATGTTGCTCTTCGAACCCTTAGCCGTGGTTAACTTGTCACTACAATTTGAAAGTAGTTATTTCACTTCAGCAAAACTTTACGATATATGAATTCAAGCAAAGGCCAACTGTTGTGCTTCTAGTTTCTCAGACGAGACAGTGGCAGCTCACTTCCTCAGGGTCCAGAACAGAAAAGTATCTGTAATTTCTCTTTCATTCCAGTCAGGGTATCACTAAGCTCTTTATTTTCAACAACAGGTCTGTTCCTCTAGGATAGGCAATTAAAATATTGTTGTTACTACCACTTACAGGTATAAGTACTTTTTCTTGCCCTAGAAGAACTGAGCTGCTGCCAGCAGTTGAATATGTTTCTGTGACTGAGATAAAATTACCTTGGTTGGCCTTTTTCAACTTCCATGGCCTACAGTATGAAAATTTTACTTCAGTCTTCTGAATGAAAGTTAATGACTTATACAGAAATACTTGGGACAGTGCAACCTACATATTGGTTATATGAATTAAACAATACTATTAGTTTTGTTTCCAAATTGTTGCTATTCTTAGTGTGCAGGAAGGAAGTTAGTGAAATAACTAGATCTTTTCACTGGCGTAATTTTAATAAATCTAGGGGAAGATATATTTATTTATTCCCTCCAGGGGAACATCTTTGTCGGTGACATGGACAGTGGGATTGAGTGCACCCTCAGCAAGTTTGCAGATGACGCCAAGCTGAGTGGTGCCGTTGACATGCCTCAGGGACAGGATGCCATCAAGAGGGACCTGGACAAGCTTGAGAAATGGGCCCGTGTGAACCTCATGAGGTTCAACAAAGCCAAGTGCGGGGTCATGCACCTGGGTTGGGGCAACTCCCAGTATCAATACAAACTGGAGGATGAAGGGATTGATCTGTGGAGAAGGACTTTTGGGGGTACTGGTAGATGAAAAGCTGGACATGAGCCGACAATCATAGAATCATTTAGGTTGGAAAAGACCTTTAAGATCATCCAGTCCAACCATTAATCTACCATTACCAAGTCCACCATTAAACCAATTAAGGGTAGAGTAGCAATTTCATGTCTCCTGGCTTGGTGGCTGGATTATTTATAATGAAAGTAAAAACTAGGAATCATTAAGATTGGAAAGGACCTCTAAGATCATCAGTCCAACCATCAACCCAACACCACCATGCCCACTAAACCATGTCCCAAAGTGCCACGTCTACCCGTTTCTTGAACACTTCCAGGGATGGTGACTCCACCACCTCTCTGGGTAACCTGTTCCAATGCTTGACTACCCTTTCTGTGAAGAAATTTTTCCTAATATCCAATCTAAACCTCCCCTGGCACAGCTTGAGCCTATTTCCTCTTGTCCTATCGCTAGCTACCTGGGAGAAGAGACCAACACCCACCTCACTACAACCTCCAATGTGCACTTGCAGCCCAAAAAGCCAACCGTATCCTGGGCTGCATCAAAAACAGCGTGGCCAGCAGGTCGAGGGAGGGGATTCTGCCCCTCTACTCTGCTCTGGTGAGACCCCACGGGGAGTCCTGCATCCAGCTCTGGAGCCCTCAGCACAGGGAAGACATGGACCTGCTGGAGCGGGTCCAGAAGAGGGCCACAAAAATGATCTGAGGGCTGGAGCACCTCTCCTATGAGGCCAGGCTGAGAGATTGGGGTTGTTCAGCCTGGAGAAGAGAAGGCTGCGGGGAGACCTTATTGCGACCTTCCAGTACTTAAAGGGGGCCTATAGGAAAGATGGGGACAATCTTTTTAGCAAGGCCTGTTGCAATAGGACAAGGAGTAATGGTTTTAAACTAAAAGAGGGTAGATTTAGACTGGATGTAAGGAAGAAATTTTTTACAATGAGGGTGGTGAAGCACTGGAACAGGTTGCCCAGAGAGGTAGTGGAGGCCCCATCCCTGGCAACATTCAAGGTCAGGTTGGATGGGGCTCTGAGCAACCTGATCTGGTTAAAGCTGTCCCTGCTCACTGCAAGGGGGTTGGGCTAGATGATCTGTAAAGGCCCCTTCTAACCAAAACTATTCAATGGTTCTATGATTCTATAACTTGATATTAAAGCTAGCATATAGAATAGTCCTTACAAGCTTGCGTATGTGTAGGACTGAGCCATAGGCATGATACAGAGTGAAAGTTACATACTTTTAAAGTATCTTGTTTGTGTCGTTTTTGTTTTTCCTATTTGGAGGGAGAAAGTGTCATTAACTGCAGTCGTCTTACACTTGCCACTTTAAAACCTAATATTATATTGCAGAGATTACCATTTAATATGGAAGTTAGAGTAATTTGCATGGGTTTAAAGTGATTTCTTTTGAAGGTGATGGCTGTAACTAACAACATTTGTTTAGATGAGCTGCAAAATAATGCTAATAAATCATCATGTAACTTTCAGGATGTAAAACAAACTCACTCCCCTATATTCAAATCTAGGAGGTAAGAATCAGTCTGTATGCAGATTTCTTTATTTGATGACCAACGTCTTTGGTTGCTTTTATAATAGATGTGATCTAGATAGCAAAGCAATGCAGAGGATGGAACAAACTTTTTTTTCTAATGGCAGCAACAATAAAGAACACTTCCTTTCTAAAGTGCTAAAACAACTTTTTTCTCTTGTGTGATTCCTGATGATACTAGTAAATTCCTGAGAAGTACTAATAAATTTGAGCTAATTTTTTTAAAAGTGATGGTAGGTGTATATTATATGTTTTGTGTTTATATTACCACTTACTGTATTATAAGACATAAATCCAGTTTATATGGGTTTTCTTCAAGAGAAATTACCTATTCCTTTCAGTGAGGGCTTTTTTCTTTATCTTTCAAGGTGGCTGAAACCACTCAAAGTGATACAAGTGTCTCATCAGGGGAAGCAAGCAAAAGAAGCATTCATTTTCTGCCTAATGAATCAAAGCTAGATCCTCAACTAGAAAACAAAGACTTAAATACCAAAGAAAAAAGTGATCCAGGTGCAGATGAAGATGATGTAGAGGGAGATTCTTTTTTTGATGATCCTATACCCAAACCAGAAAGAACTTACGGCTGGTAAGTAACATGCATGTTCTACTTAATACAGGTTTCTTTTGTCCTCAGTATGCTTGCAGACCTTTGAGAGCTAGCTGGTGTTTGATTATTTGCACTTTGTAAATGTGAGTTTACATTTAGATCTGTTCTGGAACATTTTGTTCTGAAATGTGCACTTCTGTGATTCTGTGATTCTATTCTTTGAAATGCACAGTGTCACCTGGGATGTCTTGGATGTACCATGAGTGGAAAAACCTGTATCACTTCAAGGTGCATCGGTTAGACTGTGTAATGTCCCCAGCCTATTTCTTTGGAGAAATGAACATGTATGAGGCACAGACGTCAGTGTTTCTTCTTGCAGTGGTGATCAGTACTAAAGTGAGAGGACAATGACAGGGATAGCGCTTTAGACATCTGTATGGCTTTGTAAGGAGTACAGAAAATCTAGTGAATGTGTACACTGGCTCCATGAACTGCGAGAATAAGGAAAGCTTTCTCACTGCTGAGGGTTTCCTCTTCACATTGCGGCACCTTTTGTGTGCAGTTCTGTGTTTTCGGTGAAGTGTTGTTATTTCTGCATACGTCAGTGTTGCAGACACTTCTGAAGGGCATTTTTTATCTTTCATCTATAGAGTCTGATGACTGGAAAATACCATTTGAAACAAGAACTAGTGACTGAACTACACAACAGCTTTGTTGTAAAACTGAAAAACCTGTCTTTGTGTTATCATGTCGCGTTATCTTGAAGCTTAGTTTAAGTATCTCTATTGAGAAATGCTGCAAGATCATTTCGTGGTGTTCTTTTGCTGTGCTCGAGTAACTGGAGAATTGCTCTAGCTTAGTAGAGGTTACCAGAAGAGGCTGCAGAAGCGTTTGCAAGTCAGTTTGACAGTAGCTCACCTCATGTTGGCTTTTTCCCCCAACTGTGTCAATAGTGGGTAGAACAGTGTAAACTTTTTTGTATTACTGCTACAGTAGATGCTTACTCTTGGAATGGGATCATTCTGGTACAGCACAAAGCAATCATGCCAGGTGAACAAGGTCTCTTTCTAGCAAATTAATGGACTCTGAGAAAGATTATTTATCGTACAGCTTTAGTTGGATGTATATAAAGAGCAGAATTTTTTTCCTCAGAGCAGTGATTTTTCTCTGGAAAATATTTTGTGTTACAAATAACCCTACTATGGTATTTCTTTTCTCTTTTTCTTATTGGAAATATCAAGGTTAAAACTGCATCTGAGTAAATTTACTCATTACTCAAGAGCTCATTTAACTAGCCTTTAAGCAAAGTCTGACCATTGTAGCAAGTGGTTGTGTTGCCATAAAATAGGTTTAAATGATAAGTTGGGAAAAGTAGAAAGGGCTGGAAAAACTTCTGGATATTAATAATATTTACTAATTTCTTATTGTTCAAGCATTTTCATATGACAATAAGGGAAATTCACTTTGAAATTGGGTAAACTGGATTTCTTTTAAAAGACCATCCAAGAAAGACTCTTAATTATTCAGTAAAATAAGCATTTTTTCCTAGTAGAGAAACTCCCTACAGAAAAAAATTATTTCCAAATTATGTGTGTCTGTAGTAAAGTCACAGTCCACCAAGTAGTAATTTGTACCTCATACTGTTATTGTGATGTAGATATTATAGTATTGTTTCATAATAAAGTTTGCTGATAGTAACTGATTGTAACTGAGCTGTCTCTGCTGAGTCTTTCACTTCTATCCTCCTGGCAGCTACTCTAGAGGAGAAAAAAGAGCATATTCTTCAGGTGAAATCCTCTTGTGGTATGTTGTGCTGGTGTACCTGAGTCCCAAGGGATGAGTAAATAGGAGAGGTGCCAGTATTGCTTGGTTTGCAAAGAGATAAATTCCTATCGGAGCTTTGCCCATTCCTGTAAGAAGGGTGCATTAGAGAGGAAGGGAGCAAGCAGTTACTAAGGACAGAGACAGAGATGATCCAAGCTCTCATCTCCCTTAGGTCTCTGACCCATTGTTCAAAATTTTGAAGTGTTTTAATATGTGATGGTATACACGATATTTTGGTGATATAGATACAATGAATGATTCAAATGTTGTCCATCACTGATAGGAAAGGAATTGCAGTAACAGTTCTGGTAGTACTAAATGTGAAAATCTTGATCTCTTTTTAATGGTGTTTCTTCATTCTTTGCTTGCAAGCAGTATTCGGACTCAACGCTTTAACTACCTATTAAATGGAATAGGTAGTAGCCAAGTGAACTTGAACATTTGATGATGACATCTGTCTTAATCTGAGACGTTTTCATTCTGTGAACTGGCTGCTCTTAGGATTAATAGTTTCATCAGATATAATATCTTTTAGTTGTAAAACAGACTAAATATTGATTTATATCTGAATCTTTCTCCTTTTGGCTGCATTTACATGTGAGGATAATGAAAGGCACCTTGATAAAAATAGTGATGCTAATGAAACTGCAGGAGCTCTGTCTGTGCAAGAAGGCAGGCAAAAGTCTTTGCGTAGGTGAGAAAGTGACTTTCTTACTGAATGTCTTGCTTGGCACTTGTGCGAGTAAAGTGCCTACTGTTTTTAAGATTGCAGAATGGATAGTCCTTTACCCTTGCTCTTTCTGCTGTAAATATTGCTGTTCTAGTTTTATGACAGTTTAGTAAATAATAGAAAAGAAAGTTGCTATGCACATTTTACAGCTCTGTGAAGTATTTGTTTATTTGGTTTGTTTTAGGAAAACAGAAGCTAATAAAGCAGGAGGTCTAGCATCCCTTTCTGATGCACCACCTCTAAAAAGTGGGTTAAGCTCCCTGACTGGTGCACCTTCTCTAAAGGAGTCTGATAGTAAGTTTTCACATGGTTTGGTATTTTGGTGAATTTAGGAGATATTTCCCATAATAGAATGAATAATCTACACATTCAGATGCAAATGTGATTAAGTAGCCTGTATGTGGCCCCCTTCTGGTTGCAATATGCTTCATAGTAATGCTGCTTTTTTCACTAATTGCATACTGATATATTTGATATGTTATGCTACCATTGGGGCATCTTATGTTTTGGACCATGAAATACTTATCTACACTCCTTTTTTTGTGTATATAAAGCAGTTTTCAGAAGTATAAAATTCTACTGCTCAGTTTTTAACTGAAATTAATTTCCTCCTTTTTGTTCTCATCTTAAATTATTCGCACAAGTTCTTTAGGGATATTTGCTTTCATGTTGTAAAACTTGATCCTGAATACTGGGAGATTGTCCCTGTTTGCTACTTGTCCTGGTTTCAGCTGGGATAGAGTTAATTTTCTTCCTAGTAGCTGGCATAGTGCTGTGTTTTGGATTTAGTATGAGAAGAATGCTGATAAGACACTGATGTTTTTAGTTGTTGCTAAGTACTGCTTATGCTAGTCAAGGACTTTTCAACTTCCCATGCTCTGCCAGGCGCACAAGAAACTGGGAGGGGGCACAGCCAGAATAGTTGAACCAAAGTGGCCAAAGGGCTATTCCATACCATATGATGTCATGCTCAGTATATAAACTGGGGGGGGTTGGCCGGGGAGCAGCGATCGCTAGGTGTCGGTCGGTGGGTGGTGAGCGGTTGTATCACTCCCCACCCCCACCCCCCCGGGTTTTGTTTCTCTTCTTTTTGTTTTCCTTTTCACCATTTATTATTATTATTTATTGTTATTTTATTTAAATTATTAAACTGTTGTTATCTCAACCCATGAGTTTTCTTACTTTTACCCTTCCTATTCTCTCCCCCATCCTACCGGAGGGGAGAGGGTGAGCGAGCGGCTGCATGGTGCTTAGTGGCCAGCTGGAGTTAAACCACGACACTACTCATGTTTTTAAATGTTAGCAGAGTTCAGACCTAAAAATTAGATCTATATAATTTTATAGTATAGTAATAAGGTTATTATAAAAGAACATCTGTTATAAATGGTTCATGGGTATGTTTAAGTGGGATCTTATTAAAGAGTCACAAGTTAAATTTCTGGTATAAATGCTTTTGTTTTGTTACAGATTTGAACAGAAACTCTGTTTTGAAAGACCTGCGGTTGGTGAATGCAAAATTGGGATCACTAGAATTAGGCAAGTAACTGCTAAACATGAGTAAGCTCTGATATTTTTAACTGTAAGTTCTGACCCAGCTTCTTAGAGGAATCTGGGAAATTGAAATACACATATCGAACTAAAATCTTCAGCTTTTACTTCTCTCACTCTATTTAACACCATTGTGAAACTTACTGGAGTTAAGAGCAAGATCTGATCTAAAGGAATACAGAAAAGTGAAAACTGGTGTCTCGTATGTTCATACATTTGCTAACATCAAGTGATAAATTCCATTGTTTAGGTTTCAAAGAAAAGAAGGGGTTTATATTTGTGGAAAAAGATAGCCAGACAAGTCTTACTGTTTTTCAGTGGCATATTTACTTCCCCTCCACACCTTTGAAAGTTGCCTTGTAAGCTTTAGGAGCAATATGAAGATCATGTGATGTAAGAAGTATCAACTGTCTCTCAAAATAGAGCTGCCAAGTATTTAAATTTTGTCTTCAGCAATGTAGCCAACATCCTGGAAAATATATGTTCAATTTCTAAACAGTTTGTGTAAGTGAGATTGAGATTAATTAATGACAAACGTAAACTCAGCTTCTCTTCCTAAATCTGCACAAGTAATTTAATCTACTCCCACTTTTGCTGGCCATCAAACCATGTATTTTGGTGCAGGAATAGATTCTTTTTTGCGTGTTCTGAAGAGAAAACTTGTTTAATATCTTTTAAAAAATTATTTAGGAAATGGAGATGACGATGAGTATGCTGATGACTTCAACAGGTAAGAGAAGGATGATATTGCAGTAGCATAGTATTTCATGCATTATAAGCATATTCACTGACATATTTGAATTATTTTGTAATATTTCAGCTAGTCACTATTGCTGGAGCCTGTCAGTATCTCTGAACTCCTTTAAACTGCGCTTTGCTATTTAATATATATAGTTACAAATTTAAAAAAAAACAGATCCTTTTTGTATAGGGGGTAATGAGTTTCTTAAAAACCTGGTGCTACGTTTAAGATAAGTTGTTGCTTTTTTGTGGAAGGTGGTTTTTTTCTTTTTCCTGAACCATGCATTTAGCAATGTTTTAACACTTTAATTAATGCTATTAGACAATGAATATGGTGTAAGCTGAAATAACTAAAAAATAAAGCATCACAAGTAGTCAGTAATTAATATTTAACAGCCTCATCCTTATGACGTGAAGGTATTGGTGTTGTAAACTGCAGGATTGAGGCCTAAATAATTATTGGTGTTAATCATGGCTTCATCTAGTTAGAAAGCCTTTAGTTGCTATGAGTTTTTAAGTAACTTCATATTTAACTTGCTAGGAAGTAAAATCCAAATCAAATGTCAGGTATAAAGTGAAAGTGAATGCAATACCTGGATGTTTGAAAGTCTTATTTCTATGTTTATGGTTTTCTTTCTCTTTAGTACTAGTCATCGCTCAGAAAAAAGTGATATCAGTATTGGTGAAGAAATAGATGAAATTTCTGTGGAAACAGAGGAGTCAAATGCCAGTGATAAAGTATGATTCTTTTAAAATTGTCCTTCTTGAGATTCTTATCTGCTCTGTGCCATTATCATAGGTTTCTAGGATATGTGTTAAAGTTGTATTATTTGTTATGTTCTGTCTTTTTACACCTAGTATTCCTGCCAAGTTAGATACTATACTGATTAAAAAACAAAACAAAAAACCCCACAATTGTTTGGTAGCACAATTCACTCTCTGTTTCTAAGCATGTAAAACGTATTTGAGACTGGTTTAGTATCCAGCATAGGAATGTCTTATCCCTATATCTCAAGATCTGTCTGAGCACCTCCTAAAGGAGTTGAAATCTCACTGAAAGAGCTTGAGGCCAAAAGGATGGGATGGTATATGAAGGACTACGAGATACAATACTGTTTCTATGATTTCTGAGTTTGTAATTTCATTTATTTTCTAGCTTGAAGGCATCACACAAGACCTTACCATTTCTCAGTTAAGTGATGTTGCAGATTATCTAGAAGACGTGGCATAGAATCGGACAGCAAAAATGTTTCATTGTGCTGGACTAGAAGACTGCTGTGGACTGTTAATTTCAGACAATCACTTTTTGCTGGAATGTCCACTCCCTATTTGTGCCTTGTATTTCAAAAAGACTGTAGGTGGAGAAGGCTTTTAAATATTCTTAACAAGAACTAAATGAAATAGTGCGTTCCCATTTGAGTCTGATATCAGAATTATTTTCTTCATTTGGTTCAGCCAAATCTTTTACAGCAGGAGGTGGATTTCCAAGCAGAATGTCCATTGCTGGCAGTGGGCATAATAAAAACCAATTGATAAGAGAACATCTACGGGGAGGTATGTGGCTTTATAATGAACTTGCACTGTTATTGTAACAGTCCAATTTTTATTTTTTTTTTTTTTTTAAAGATAACCAAAGCAAGAACCTTCAGAGGTAGTGGTTCAACTCGCTCTTCTTTTAACACACTTTTGTCAAGTCAGCATGTAGTACATATTTATGGTAACTCTAGCCACAATACCTAATTGCTTCAGACTTACTTGAAACTGCTGTTATTCAGACTCTTCTGAAAGTTGGACTTTTTTAAAGGCATATCAAGTTGAGAGTATCTAAACTCTCTTAGCTAAATTTAGGAGCTAAATTTAGCACTTGTCTTAACTCCGAATATTCTTGTTTAAATGTGTTTGTCAGACCATTGATGTTAAGACCTAAGCTGTTTTTATATATGATAACTTCATCAATGTTATCTGTTGTTAAATCACAAAAAGTAATTTTGTAAGGATCCACAAATCATTAAGTAAATCTTACTGGGTTTTGTTAAGTTTTTAACAGTGTGGTAATGGTTTGTGGAGCTTTTATTATTGAGGGCTCTTCACGTGCTGTAAGCTCACTTTCATTCTTGATAATCCTTGTTATGTAAAAATGAGCGCCAAAAAGTGAAACCACTAACCTTCTGTTTTTCAGATTCTGACTGCTGTACAGAATTAAATCCAAATATTTAAAAATAGCATACCGAAGACGTTATGGACACTAAGTTCTAGCTAAGAGCAAATTCTTGTATTTTCATTCACTCTTGCAAAACAGGGTCAGTAATGGAAACATTGACAGTTCTTCAATGATACTGTTGCACATGGCGCTGTTATAATATATAGGTCATGGACATTTGTAATACTGAAACAAGACTTCAAAATGTGCACTTTCTGAACATTGTGAACACATTTGGAAAATATACATGTAAGTGAATATAAATAACTTAATTTTTTTTTTTAGGCTTTGTAATTTTTTTCAGGAGCACTGTTGGCCTCTCATCAATGGTCACCACAGTGAAAGTAGCATGCTAAACTAAAGCCATTGGTTAAGCATATAGCGCTGCTACTAGCATTGGATGCTGACTTCAATCTTTTTTTTTTTTGCACTGGGCCAGCTGGCATGGAGCAGTGCTGGGAAGTTAGGTTTGTACAGTACATAAATCATTTGAGAGGAGAGAGGAAAAGTGTGCCTTTTATTTATGTGCACCCCAAAATAGCCAGCAAAAAAGCATCAGAATATTTAGTCATGGTGTTAACTTCTAACTTTGTGCCATATTGTAGCAGCTGAACAGAGGAGAATTTTTTTCACCCCAAAAAATCAGTGTGCCATAGACTTCAAATAGCAACAGTGTTGTAACATATGATACACCCTGTGTAAAAAATTCCTTTAAATATTGGGGAACCCGTGCCTCAAGATGCTATGTGTGAAAAGTTTGGTTTGGGCTTTTTTTTTTTCTTTTCTTTTCTTCTTCTTTTTGAAGAAGAGCAACAGCATGTCTAAAGGAAATAAAATTCCACTCAAATACCTGGGAACAATTTATTTCTGGCATTCATTTTTAAGGTGTATGGAATAACGTAGAGACAGTGGTGTTTGCTTTTTTTACATGTCTTGGGAAAACGTGATGTTATGTTACCTGGTAGCTGTAGGATATGTGGCAATTTATCATACCAAAAGAAGCAAAAACTTTATTAAATGATTTCTAACTCCATTTGAAGATGTGGCCTTTTAAATAACTAATTAGTTATTATCAGTGTTAATATGACTTTTGTTAACAGCAAAGTGTTGTTCTCTTACCGTGGGAGTTAATTGGAGACCTTGCACTTTGGCTTTAATTTAAGGAAGTGCCAAAAAGTGGTAAGTTTCCATGCTGTTCCTCCTGTGGGCTTTTACAGAATTGTGTATAATAATTCAAATTGCAAGATAAAGCTATTGTGCTGGCTGAATTGTATTTTTGAGACTTCTTGAATCAAAAATCTTAACATTTAGGAAATTCAGGAAGCCCTGTGGGTTTTGGGAGGTTTTCTTGAAAAATGGTTTTTTTCAGAGTTAGTTCAGTCTGCAGCTGAGAATGTGTGCATGCTCAGGTTTCTTCTAAGCCCAAAGGATCTTGCAGTTCCTGATGGTGAATCCTAAAGTCTGACTAAGACCAGACTGAATCGGGTTACTGGGTATCAGTCTGAGTTGTCGATGGTTTATGATTCAACAGACGAAGGGAAAAAAAATCCAATCTTGATTGGCAAAATTTTGTTTTGTTTACCATTGTTAGTTTGAGTTACTAAAACATGACTAACAAGGTAGGCTCTCTTGAATGCTTGCTTTGCTGCACATTTCAAATCACATTGGTTGGTATTTTACATTAGGCTTCTCCTTAAAGGACCTAATGTGGTTGAATACCCAACCTCATTTCTCTGTTAGAATTAACAACTAGAGCTCTGTTTTAAAAGACGGGAATGTTCCTGTCTAAGTCGTCTTCTGTATTGGTTCTGCCTTTTCGCAGACATCTCTGTGAACAGAGAAGGAAGTGTCTGAGGGGGCATTTATGACTGGTCTGTACAGTTCTGTGCCAACTAGGTCTGGTTAGAAACATGCTTTTTTGTTAAACACTTAGACTCTGTAATTTGTTTAACAAATCCTGTGATTTCCAGAAGTAAAAAATTAAGGACTAAGCTATAGCTGACAGTTCCATACCATTAATATGGCTGTGGTAATGAGGATGGATTATAAAAACTATACTTGTCTTTTTTGGGGTTTTTTTTTTTGTAGTGAAGTTACTGTATTCCACTCTTTTTTTTCTCTTTCATTTTTTTTAACCAAAGTGAGAAACCATGGCACATCTGATCAAATATTTCCTCATAAGTGATGTTTTCCCCAACTGTAATAAAACCACTCTCAGCTTTAGACTGTTTTGACAATATAGTCTTTATTTAGACAATATATCTAGCTCTTGACAACTTAAACACTTCTGTAACTGAGAGGGTGACTGAGTGATGATGATAAAGAATGGGTTTACTACTTTGCTTTTTAGCACAGTAACTTTCACTGATTAAATACTTTCTACAAAGCCTAGCCTCCTCTTCAGGAAAGAATGCATCCATGGATATTTCAGTTCGGTTGTAGATAAAAGCTAACAAACTTCTAGTTTTAGCATTGTCTAGGCAGAAGGAATTGAATCTTGGCAAGATGGCTACAGTGCTTCGTGTTCATTTAAGGAAACGCCAGATTCTTCTTTTTCAGTAGGCCTTTCTGGTTTGACATTTTCCTTGTAAGGTAGAGCCGAGAGAGGTTGAAATGAATTGTAAGAGATACAGTTTTAGTAGATTTGTAAGTGTCTCGTTCATCTTGAAGCTAAGTCCTCTGCAGACTAGCTATAATGAATACAGTATTGCAAAATCATAACTTGCAACATTTGACTCTCTTGATTTCTAAAAAAAAAAAAAAAAACCCAACAAAAAAAACCAAACCAAAACCCAACAAAAAACAAGGGAACTGGGCTATTCAAGGTCATTGAGTTACCCAAAGATTGAACCTCAAACAGAACTGCAGTGAACATAAGAAGTGTCAGTTCCTTTGTTTATATATCATGAACAGTACTAAATTCTCCTAATAAAAGAGGGGGCGGGGGGCGCAAAAAGCCCAATGACCTCCAGCATACAATTTCTAGTTTCTGGCTCCTGGGGTACTAAAATTTGTTGCTGCTGCGATTTTGGGTTGGTTTCCACCACCCCCAATACAGAATAATAGGAAAAATATATTTAGCTGTCCTTGCATGTACAATATGTCACTTCCTTGAAATACATCCATAATGTCTTAAAGTCAATCACAGTTCAAAACTTCTTGTGTAACTTTTTCCAAATCATTTCTTCTTTTTAATATTTCAGAGGGCACAATGTAAGTATATAACTTGCTGTTCAAAGAAGTGCCAAAAACTATTCTCTCCCAGGCCTTGAAATGAATCGCCTTAGTCAGCTAAGTCCATTGTACTTCTCAGGGCAAAAATGGTCAATAAGTGAACAGTGAGCCTTTAAGTACAGAAAGAGGATGGAACAACATTCTTTTTTAGTAGTGCAGTCTTCAAGCATTGTCTTGGTACAGTAGTTGAGGTACGGTAGAGAGATGACATCGAAGTTGAGCATATAATTAAAAGGTTATTTTGGGGATCACTTGCTTTGTTCAGTGAACTGAATGTTTGCTTTTAGTGTTGAGGTTTTTTGCCTAAGTGTGTCATTCGACCTAGGGGAACAGAATACTTTGTAAGCTCCTCAAAAAAGCTTTGTAAGAACCGTGCAGGGGAAAAAATGCAGACCTGATGCTTATGAGCTGAATGAACTGCAGCTGGGAACAAAAAGTGTAAGGAGTTGCATATGGAGCAGGAAAGCTAATGGGTCCTGTTCAGCGCGTGGTGCATGAAGAAGCAGTCTGCATGGAGGAGCCGGCATTCATCAGGTGGGAGAAATGCAGCTAAGAACTGAGAGACTGAGAAGCTGCCTGCTGAGTACACGTGAGCAGGGCAGGCTTGTGTTCATCTTCCTTCTTAACACCTGAGGACCACTGTGACCAGGTTGTGCAAGCAGGAAGGAGCTAGTGGAAGAGAGTGAACAGTAAGGCCATAGACAGTGTTTGAGACCAGTAGAGGACACAGTGATGATGGTAACAAGCCACAAGACACAGTCCTTGGCGCTAGCCAGAGCAACTACCACAGCGTGCTGGAGACGTCAACCCAGACACAACCCTGGGGAGGATGTGGCTGTCCAGATGCAGGGAGTGCCTGGAGCTTCTCAGAGGTTGGGGGTGACAGTAGCCTCGCCTGCAGGAGCTCTGCTCTGGTCAGGACACTGAGCTGCCA